CGAAGTGATAATTCACTACGAAGTGATAATTCACCGTATCGTCGTATTCACCGTATTAGAGACGTAACGGAGACTAAACTTCACTGTTACTGCGTAACAAAAAAAAAACAAAAACTCACAATTCGTTTGGTGACCTCTCAAAGCATGTAGAAAAACATTTGCTGTTCAGTTAGGGCAGTTCATAATAATAACCAGAAAGTCACGACTTCCTAACAAGTTAGAATTAAAATATCTCCTAAACTCTAACACAAAGCTAATAATATACCATCATAATAATGTACCAAATAATACACCAAATTAATTCCGCAAAAATTCCCAAATCTTCACTTTTCAGCCTCAAACACATTCACATCACAAGTGCAACGATTAATACATCCAATTAACCGAAACATTCGTCGCAAGATACCCCAAGGATGCGCCGCTCGACGTTTAAATCAACAAGTTGGCGGAACGGGCTGTAAGTTATAGTAATTAACGCGCGGCAATAATATTCGCCAGCTTCCTCCATTACTCCACTGCGCCGGAGAGATTTAGGGCCGAGTGTCTAGACGTGTTCGGATAGCCATGGAACCCCATAGAGTCATTAACTTGCTCACAGCCGCCTTTTTTCTCCCCCTTTTTTTGTTCTCGAAGAACCACGTTGCCCTGCGGGGAACCCTACACCCTCTGCTCCAACTTTTTCCTTGCCTTTCTTATTTTTTCCGGGGAGAATCCCGTGGGATACGGGGGTACAGGGTTTATGTATTCGTCGAATTAACAAGTTTTTTGGGGGACAACCTGTTTGCGGGAGACTCAGGTGGATTTCTTGGAGGGTGAGAGTGAGTTTAAGGTTTTTGGGGTATGGTGGATTTTAGAGGAGAGTGATGTGTAGTCTGGGGGAGTAGTGTGTTGTTGGTTGTATATCGTGCTGATACTATAACTATGCTATACAATATATACTACACTATAACTATGCTATACAATATATACTATACTACAATTATACTATACAATACATACTATACTATATTATAGTATAATATAGTATGTAATATAATTATGATCATAATTAAAGTATTAAACATTGATTAAGTCATACAAAAATATATTTATTAATATTTATTATATTTATTCCAATTAATGTCTACACATAAATAATACCTTCTCCAGCATAAAAATGTTCCATTATTCATTTTGATGATCTTTAAAAAACTTTATCGCACAATATTTTATATTAAAATAACATTTCTTTATTCATAAAAAAAATTCATATGAACAAAAAATAAAATAAAAACGAGAATAAAATAAATACCATGCACCCAATCGTTATGATTCAATATCTCGATTCATATTTATATAACATTAAATATGCGCGCGAAATTCAAACTGCCACGCGCGAGCATAAACAGAGCGGTTAAGTATAAATAATTATTATTAATCTTAATCGAAAGCAGCGCATAGCCAAGTACGTTTAGCATTAAGTGCGATTAAATAACCGATTTGATATTTTCATACGACATGAGGACGTTCCGTTCTTCTTAACGTGACTTTCGAAGCGCAGTTTATATGCATAAGTTTCGTAAGCTTTTATCGAGAGATGACGAGTTATGGCAACGAGTGTACAGCGTCTCTCCAAAGTCCAAATACCTTATATCAGAAACAGCTTCAAACATGCAAAAATGTTCCAGAAAAGTTGTAGATATCAAGGGTTAAGATGGCGGCAATTTGACCTTGGTTTGAAGGTCACTTCCTCGGTTTCTTAAATAGAATCCCATTTATTACATATTGTAGCGACGTTTTCAAAACACTGTGTTTGTTTTTCGTGGGAGTCATTCCCAAGATACGAAGCTTCAAAGTTGTCACATAAGTGGCGTAAATCTGATCGTGCAACCCTCGCGCGGTGCACCTTGGGTAATGTGAATGCCGACGATACGTCAACTTTGAAGCTCCGTATCTTGGGAATGACTCGCACAAAAAACATAGGTAGTGTTTTGAAAACGTCGAGGCTACAATATGCAATAAATGGGGGTTCTATTTAAGAAACTGAAGACGTGACCTTCAAACAACCAAGGTCGAACTGTTGCTACCATCTTAACCTTGATATCTACAACTTTTGTCTGAAACATTTTTCCATATTTAACGCCGTTTGCGTAATGTAAGGGTGAGGTTGGACTTTAGAGAGACCCTGTACTCGGCGCATAAGGAGAGGTAAAATGTTGTCGCGAGCAAGCAACGAGGAGATAATAATTCGACGTGGGAACGCGTACCCGTTCAATTTCGAATTGAAGATCTGACGCGCGGCTATAAAGAAAGTTGGGAAACGAGCTGTCCTCACAATTTTCTCGTTCCTTTATCTGATTACATCTGTGTAAAATAAATTTCGACGGGAGAAAAGACACTTTCGGTGCTCGAAAGTAGTGTCGCCGGTAAATTTACTTTTGCGAATGACGTTCGTGTACGCGATAAAAAAGACTAATTAACAACCGGACAATAATGAATGCGCGTACGGTTAAAGAAAGTGAATATTAGTGGCGATTCATTTCGTCGATATAAATAAGAGGAAATTTTGTTTATATGATTTATCTGTTCTGTTAGGTGAAGATTGCGTTATGTGGAACTCATTTTAGAACAAGAATAAATGCTTTATACTGATTCAATTTTTGATATATTATAAGTTATGTATATTGCACTTTTTAAGAGTGAGATATGAATTTATTTAGGTTGGTCCATAAATTTTATTTTGTATCATTTATTTAAACAAGTGATATCAATAATTCTGTAAGTACCAAGTCACTAAATTATCAAATTTGTGAAATTGTTAAATTTAGAAATTACTTAGAATACTAGGAAATACTCAGTTTTATAAATTGAGAAATTCCCTAGTTACCAAATTCCCAAATTATTACATTTACAAATTTGGAAATTCCCTAGACACAAAATTAATAAATTTTTCATTCAAAAAAATTCCCTAGTTATCTAATTATTAACCTTGCAAATTGAAAAATTCCCTAGTTATCTAATTATTAACCTTGCAAATTTAAGAATTCCCTAGTTACCAAAGCCTTAATTATCAAGTTTGCAAACTTCAATATTTCCTAGTTTCAAAACCTTCAAATTATTACATTTACAAATTTGGAAATTCCCTAGTTACTAAATTAACAAATTTCATAATTCCCTAGATATCAAATGATTGACCTTGCAAGTTGACAAATTCCCTAGTTATCAAATCTTTACATTATCAAATTTGCAAGCTTCAAAATTCCCTAGTTACCAAATCTCCAAATTATTACATTCACAGATTTCAAAATTCCCTAGACACCAAATTTACAATTGAGAAATTCCCTAGTCATTAAATTATTAATCTTGCAAGTTGAAAAATTCCCTAGTTACAAAATTTACAATTGAGAAATTCCCTAATCATTAAATTATTAATCTTGCAAGTTGAAAAATTCCCTAGTTACAAAATTTTTAAGTAAACACTTAAAAATCCCCAAAATCCTAATTATCACTCTAAAACGCAAAAGTTAAAAAGCTATAAAAAATCAAGTTTCCTCAAAAACAAAATTTTCCAGTTTCCACCATAAACTAATATACCGTCCATGTACAGATATTATATACAAATATACTCCATTAAAAGATACAAAGACTGTAACCTCGCCACTGCACCAACAGCAACCAAAAGAACAAAAAAAATACAAAGTAACTAAAAAAAGTACATATACAATAACCAAAGAAAAACATTTCCTCAAGCACCTGTACTTAATCAAATTGCGCCACAGTCCCGTAAAACGTTAACTACAGATAATTGTCATTTCCGAAGGGTTGCAACCCCAGAGCTCACAAAGAGCGCCAAAGGGGAAACGTTCGAATCTCAACCCCGTAAGAAACTTGTCGCAACAGGTTCGAGCCGTTCCTCCCCCGACGGTGGCAAACATCGATCCACCCTTCGCTCTAGGACGTTAAAGGGGGCCGAAAGGACCCCGTCGGTTCGTCTTTCTGCGTGGAAATCGGAGAGCATCGAAAGGAGAGGAAAGGAAGGATCCACCGAGAGGAAGAAGTAGTACGATCCGAGGGGGTGATCGCGGGGGTGGGTGAGTCTCGTTTCTCAGTGCAGGTCCGGGGTGGTTAGGTTGGATTAGTGTCGGAGGGTGTCAGGGTAGGGAGAAAGAGCGGCAGATGGTCGGCGAGGACCCTGACGTGGGAAGCTCCGAATTCTCCGAGTTCCCACAGCCAGAGTGCACCTGCCTTCCCCACTCTGTCACCCCGTGGGGCTATATAAGACCCGGGGTTGCTCGTCTACGGCATCATTCGCTCACTAGCGCTTCAGAGATCCTCTCCGAGTAAACCCAACCACTCCGAGTGCGTTCGTTGTGTTCTCCTTTAAAACCGGTTCAGTGAAATCGAAGATGGCCGCCACCATGAGCCACGTGTTCGACTACGAGAACGAGCTGAACGACAATCTGTACAACCTGAAGATGTCCGGCAAGAACGCCGCGAACAAGCGGGTCAGGAGCGTGCTGAAGCCCATCATGCGACTGCTGAAGAAGAGAACCAGCAGAGGCAAATACGCCAAGGGACAGAAAGCGGTGCCGCAGGTCGAGATATTCACCGAGGAGGTGGACAACCAGAACAACGCCAACGAGGCACTGGAGAGGAGGCTGCTCGCCGAGCTCCAGGACGCCGAGGAGGGAGCGGCCATCACCGTCTGCCTGGATGGCCAGATGACAGTTGTGCCCGTTGTCCCGGGTCAGTGCTACGTGCCCGTTCATTTCGCGCACACCCACGCCGGAGACTTCTACTGGACCACTCTCAGCATGGCCGACAGTGACCTGTGCTACAAAGAGCGGGCGTATTCGCAGTACCAGACACCAGAGATGCAGGTCGCGTGAAACGACGCATCCCTCTGACTCATCTACCTCACTCCAGATACTGGAATCGAGAGTCCACGACTCTACCTTGGGGATACCCTGAAGAGACTGCCTTTAGATTAGACGCGTTCGAAACTGTGATACGTAGATTGTAACGTTTTAATCGGAGATTCATGGAGTTTGTCGACCTTTTTTTTTGGTTTGGCGATATGTGATCGCAGAATTGTGATATTTGTACCTAGTAGGTTAGGGATACTTTGTGATAGCGGCTTTAAGCATCGGCTCGCCGGTGACACTTCCTATTGTCTTCCAATTTTTTAAGAGAATAAATGTAATACACCTGAATACCTGTTTCGTCACTCACCTTACCATTTAGTTATAAGTTTAATTTTAAGAGTCGAATTTTAATTTCTATGATTCTCTTCTTTTTTTTTGCTTGAAGATATTCTTTTGAGGAAATAACAAAAACAGAGACTCTTCAGAGAAATCCGTATTTGATTCACCTGCGACGAAAATTGTTAGCCCTGAACAATACAAGCAAACAAAGACTTGAATTTGAAAGGGTCCATTCATACCTGAAACTGGTTTGTGAAAGCCTGGAGGGTCCTTTCAGCCCTTCGTCGAGAAAAGATTCGAAAATCTCTTAAGAATTTCGAATTCATGGAGACAGGAAAAGTTTTGACGAAACGTAGCGTGTATTGGAGAGAAAGTTTATGGACGATAGTTTTGCAGCGTTGATTGAGGGGGTTCTGGGGATTTGAAAAGCGGGGACCTTGAAAGAAATACAATGAACGTGGATTTCGAGGAATTTATTTATGCAATTTTGGAGGGAATAACGTAGGATATTAGGGTGATTAATCCTCCCTCTTATAACCATTCAATTATCCTTTTTTGCACGGTTAATCAATGCACCTGTGATTCTTGGTATAAAGTGAAACAGGTTTCTTGCGTAACTAAGAAACTGATTGGCTTCCCCTGTTTTCGCGAGTGTATCATAATGCATACGCGCATTAAATCAGCATGAAAATTATAAAAGTCCTTTTTTTTTAGCGATCGTTGCAAAATTTATATGTTATTTATAAACTTGGGAATTGGATCGATTATGATGTCGTAGTCTTTTAGCGTGTTTGAAGACATTTTATTTTAGAAATGGGTAATTGTTGATACTCTAATTGCTGTATATTTTAATAAAAAAATTAACTGAACATTGCTGTACATTTTAATACTCATAAAAATTAAGGGTTAAGAATTAAATAATTTTTATTTTAAATAATAAAGATATTTTTCATTCTTAATTTTATATATTTGTTTGGCAGGAGAATTATCAATTTTTATTTCTAACAGTATACAGGGTTGATTTTTTATTTTTTATAAATGATACTGACGGAATTTTTCATTTTTATTTCTTGTTAAGAAGGGTTGATTTTGAACTTTCATATTTTAATGTTTTTTCTTCAGTTTTCTATAAATCAGATTTTTAGTTTATATTTTTATAGAAAGTACAAGGGGTTGATTTGCAATTTTTATTTTTTAAAGAAAATACAGGGGGTTGATTTTTAATTTTTATTTTTTGGTAAAGATACAAGAGGTTGATTTCTAAATAATATTTTCTGTTAACAGTACAAATACTTCAATTATAATTTTTATTTTTTAAAGAAAATACGAGGAATTGATTTTTAATTTTTATTTTTTGGCGAAGATGCAAGGAATTGATTTCGAACTAATATTTTCCTATTAACAGTACAAATACTTTAATTATAATTTTTATTTATTATTTTCAGTACAAGGGGTTGATTTTCAGTTTTTATTTTTTGTGACAGAAGGGGTTGATTTTCAGCTTTCATTTTTTGAAGAAAATACGAGGAATTGATTTTTAATTTTTATATTTTGGTATAGATACAAGGGGTTGATTTTTAATTATCATTTTTTTTTAAATCACAAGGGATTAATTTCTAAATTCAAATATTTACTTTGTTACATTATGTATGACATTAACCCCATTCGAAACGTACTTTCATACTTTATGTTCCTAAAAAAAATTAAAAAACACAGAAAATTTAATACAATTTTGTACGATATTACAATAAACGAACATAAAAGACAGTAAATTAATTGAAAAAAAAATGATCATGCAAAGTCGGTTCATTGAAAAGGCTGAAGAATAGGTGCACACGTGTTGCCCATATGTGACAAGCACATGTTCGAAGGGGTGAATGGGGTTGTGTGAATTCACATGATTTTTCCGCGGCCAGTTGGGACTCACCCTTCGTACGTCGAAAAGAATAACAAAAGAATGCAGAATGTATCAGATACTAATACAATAATACGAGGGGTGCATAATCTCGAATATGGCCCATCGATGGGGTTAACCCAATTTTCAGTTTGTTTAACGGTCAGCAAACCGCAAGTGTCCGAATGGGGTTGGGAATGCAAATGTTAAGCAGCGTAGGTTATAATACTATCGGTTCCATTAAGGTGTAGTAACAATTGAACTGCTTTTGTATTATGGGAACAGCTTAAAATTAACTGTTTTTTTTTTTATGTTTTTACTAATTTATGCATATAAGTTTAAGTAGTTTATACACTGATTAGGTGTAAAAATTGTGGGTTACATTTTGAAATTTTAATAAATTAAGAAACATTAAATAGCTAGTTTTATTATTTGAGTGACTTATTTATGACTTTCGTAAACTATGATTTAATTTTAAGTAAATTAATACAGTTTTGATATTAATATAAATTTATATTAAACAAGAAATTGATTCTAAAATACTAATAATAAGTGATGGAAGAAAATTTTTGCAAATTGAAAAAAGAAGGTGAGAGAAAAATTGTTTCAAGACAAAACTTTTAATAATTTTTTATACAACATTTTTGCATTGTAAATTTATTTAATGTATTTAATACATTCGTTCCTCGTTATATTACTGTGAATTGATTCTATTTAAAAGTAATTTAATTTAAAATTAATATTATTTAATATAGAAATAAATTACTTGTCCAAAAACAAGTTTGCAATATTCTAAACTAAAAATGATTCATTTTAATTGAATTTTAAATACCTTAAATTTCTAAAAGACATGTAATGTTCACCTGAAAAATTTCTTTAAATAAAATTGTTAAATAAAATTTGTTCTACATAAAATGTATATAACTATATAATCCAGAAGATATATTATAAAAAAGGTTTGAATTTGTAGAATGTATAGTAAGCTTGAAGACGATTAAAGGATAGAACCCTGAAGAGATGCAACCCTTCGTACAACCCTGCATTAGGACCCAACATCAAATTTCTCGCAAAACATCAAATAAATCGATAAAATTACAATACGAATTTCACAAACAATTACCCTATCAACCCCTATAAATAATTAACATGTTAATAATTTTTAAATAAAATTCGATAATTCTCAATTTAATTAAAAAATACCAAGTAATTAATTTTAAAAGTTCCTAGTTAACGTATCCCTAAATTATTAAATTTGAAAATTGAAAAATTCCCTAGTTACCAAATCCGTAAATTACCAAGTTTGGAAATTTCAATATTCCCTAGTTACCAAATCCTAAAATTATCAAGTTTACAAATTTCAATATTCCCTAGTTACAAAATTTTCAAATTATTACATTTGCAAATTTCGAACTTCCCTAGACACTAAATTAACAAATTTACAATTTCCCTAGATATCAAATTATTGATTTTGCAAGTTGAAAAACTCCCTAGTTACCAAATTCTAAAATTATCAAGTTTGGAAATTTCAATATTCCCTAGTTACCAAATTCCCAAATTATTACATGTGCAAATTTCAAAATTCCCTGGACACCAAATTAACAAATTAAGAATTGAAAAATTCCCTAGTTATTAAATTATTAATCTTGCAAGTTGAAAAACTCCCTAGTTACCAAATCCTAAAATTATCAAGTTTGGAAATTTCCTAGTTACCAAATTCCCAAATTATTACATTTGCAAATTTCAAAATTCCCTAGACACCAAATTAACAAATTAACAATTGAAAAATTCCCTAGTTATTAAATTATTAACCTTGCAAGTTGAAAAATACCCTAGTTACCAAATCCATAAATTATCAGCTTTGTAAATTTGAAAATTCCCTACTTCTGAAATTACTAAATTGTCAAATTCGTAAATTGAAAAATTTCCCAGTTAACAACTCACTAAACTATATATGTAATTGGCATCATAAAAAATTCCTAAATTACCAAATTTTAAAGCAAAAATATTTAAAAATCCCCAAAATCTTAAACTCTATAAACCTCGAAAATTAAAAAGCTATAAGAAATCAAGTATCCTTAAAAACTTTCCAAACATTCTATCAACTATCAACCTGAAAATAACTAACACATTAATAAGTCAAAAACAAAATTCCGAAATTTTTAACTTGATTAAAAAATATCAAAAAATATTAAACCACTTCCTGTAATTAAATTTTCGACCCCGAAAACTGTTCAATCCCAAAAATATTCTGTAAAAAGACTCATACGAAAACTTCATTTGCATTTTACTGTAACAGGATTCCGTATACAGTTACCTTATCGATTTCCCATTTAACTTTTGATACTTTTTACTCTTTAACCGATTTCTACCGCAATAATTCTTCGTTTCCGTTTAATTTCTCGCTTATTTTGTAAATGGCGCGGTCGCCGAAAGAAATTCATTAGCAACTTAATGCGATTTAAACACGTTCCAATAAGCTTCTGAATATTCCCAAAGGAAATTATGTCAGTCGAACCGAATTAACCACGCCACACCTCTTTCGTGTTATCAACTGTTGAACACATTTTATTAACGGCCGGCCATTTTTGAATTATGGCAGCTTTCTGTGTCATCCGGTCGATTCGCAACAAAGTCCTCAAAACGGCCGGTTATAAACTGTACTAAATTATTATTTATGTACGAACAATTAATAATGTTTGACGTGTCCATATATTCGATAAGAAATTAAATGTAGCTGAAGAAGAGAAACTTTCATTTGAGTGGATTTATTAAAAATATGTAGTTTATTAAAAATATGTGGATTTAATTAAAATCAATATTTCAATCGCTAATATTGATCTCATAGGAAATATTTTTTTGTTCTAATTATTATTAACAATTATAAAAAATTAAGATACATGTCTGGGGAAATATCCCTATATTAAAAATGCAGAGATCCTGAAGTCCCTGGATTCAAATGTACCCAGATCCAAAAATCCCTAGATCCCAATATTCCTAGACCCAAATATCCTCAGATCCAAAAATCCCTAGATCCCAATGTTCCTAGATTCAAATGTCCTCAAATCCAAAAATCCCTAGATCCAGAAACTCCTAGTTCCAAATTTC